GTTTTCGTTTTTTTGAGGTATAAAGAAACAGAGCTAGGATGGGACGCAAAGCACCGGCTGGACTTAACACTGCGAGAAATCCTGGTTTGCTTTTGCCCACGAATGTCTTCAATCAGCATCCCAAGCAAACCAGGTTGCAGTGTTGGAAGCTCGGCCTGTTGAATGCACTTAGTTGGCCTGGAAGCGGGGAGCCCCACTGGGCCCCAGGACCGAAAGGATGATTTCAAACCATCACCGCCCCTTCTCTTTTTGCCCTGGAAAAAAAGTTGTACTAGGCCTAAACATCCCCCTCCTTCTCCTGATGGGAGGATGCCTAGTGTAGAGTCCCCCCCAGATGCAGGTGATAACAAAAGCCCTATGCTTTCAGTTCAATTGCTGATGGGGGGGGGCTTGTCTTGGGATGTCCATGCAGTGGAATGCCATGATTGTCACAGTCACATGAGATGAGGGAATTGGGGGGGGGCAGCCTGTTACACCCCGGGGAAGACGGCGTCCGTCATTTGGATGGTAGTGGAAGACCGCAGCAGCGTATCTGGCAGCACCAGCCTGAGAACAGTAATCCATTCAACGGGGCTGGGCAGCTGATGTCACGCTCTCTCCACTACCACCATCCCTCTTCTTCGCCCTCCCTTGCTAATTAGTGAGAAGAGGCTGTGTGTGTGTGTGTAAGTGCATATGAGAGAGGGAGAGGTTGTCTCGGATGATGGAGGCACAGCAGAGTTCACGGGTTACTGTTTTTCTCTAATGGCTCTCTTTTCTCTCTCATCCTCTTGTTCTCCCAAGCTCACCACAACCGGCAGATGAGGGTCTCAAAGTAAGCCTTAGAGCCACGGATTGGGGCAGGCAGCTTCCTACTCACAACATTGCCTCTTCCGGGGAGGCTTCGGTGGGCCCCGAACCCTCACGTGTTGCTTTTGCGCTTTGCAACTCCCGTGTGTCCTCACGTCCCCACGTCCTCCCCCCCACCTCCGGGCTCCGAGCGGGAGCAAACTTCCCACGGCAGCCAGCCAGCCCAGCCCCTGCGGGGGTGGTCTGAGGAGGCAGTTGTCCCCTCATCCAGCACGTGCTCCTCCTCCTCCTCCTCCTCCTCCTCCTCCTCCTCCTCTTTGTCGGGGTTTGGAAGCCAGCTCAGTTTGTGGGGTGCTGGTGGCTGTCGCTCCTGGGGTGCTGCCCAGTTCGTGCTGTCTTCTCTTTTTTGCTTCCTCCCGTTTTATTTTTAGCTGTTGCCTCCCTTGCCGTTGCCTGTTGCTTGGAGACTGGTGCTGTGCCTCTGTGTGTGTGTGTGTGTGTGTGTGTGTGTGCAGAGGGGGGATTGTGTGTGTGTGTGTGAGAGAGAGAGAGAGAGTACTTGGGGGGGGGGTCTTTTTAGGTCCTGCAGTGCCAAGAAGCAAGGAAAGAGGGAAGGATGCTGAATTGCATTTGTAATTGGGGGGGGGCACCACTCCATTTGGCCCGAGTGCAACTCTTCCCTTGGTGGGCATGGGTGGGTGCGCGGGGGGGGGGGAGAGAGAGATGCAGTTGAGGCATGCCAGCCCCCCCAGGTTGCAGTATGTGGGATTGGCTCTCTCCCTCCCACCCCTTCCCTCCAGATGACATCACCATCCTAATGGCTTGGTCTTACGCTGATGCCCTTGAACCGGCGCCCGGCGTCCCTGGCCTCCATTACAGGGGCCTGAATTATTGATGGGCTCAGAGCGCCTGGGGTTTGGGAAATGGGAAACCACAACGGCCCCCCCCACCCCCCCCGCCTTCCCCACTCCTACTCCTCCCTCCCCACCAAGCTCTTGACACCCTCCCTGAAGGCATTGGGCACAGGCTCAGCAATTTCAGCCAAGGAGAATATAAAAGCATTGGGGGTTGGATCTCTCCTTGGCCACAGGCAGGCCGAGTTCAGACAACACCCACTCAGCCAGAGTTTCCCTCCCGTGGTGGAGATGCCTGCCCCAGATGGGAAAACCCTGTTATATTCGGTCTGGGTCAGCCGAACACACCCAAGTTTGTGTGACATATACCGGGCGATGCTTAAAAGATTCCTGCAGAATGGAAGAAAAATGTGTACAGGTAGTTCTGGGCTTAAACGACCACAGTTTGAGGTCAAAATTTACACGGCTTAAGCAAGAAGACAGTTCTCAAGTGACTTTTGCCCCCATTGTACGACCTCTCTTGCTACAGTGAAGTGAATTTATGTTGCTAAGCAAGACGTGTGTTAAACGAGCTCTGCCCCGTTTTGCGACCGTTCTCGCCACAGTTGTTAACCGGTTGTGAAGTGAGGAGCAACGTTGCTAAGTGAACCTGGCTTCCCCTTTTGACTTGGCTTGTCATAAGGTCGCAAAAGGGGATCGTATGTTTCCGGTACACTGCATGCGACCGTCATAAATATGAGACGGGTAGGTGCCAAGCGCCCAATTTTTTGATTGCATGACCCTGAGGATGCTGTAATGTTATTAAGCATGAAAAACGGTCGTCCATCAATTTTTTTCAGTGCTGACACAACCTGCAATGGTCACTAAACGAAGGGTTGTAATTCAAGGACTACTTGTATACAGTATAAAGGTTTATACCAACCTTGAAAAGGGGGATTTGAGACCCAGATTTTAAGTTCCCAACAGTTGGGCCCCTTTCGCAGTCCAGTGACCAAACTTTGGGCACTGGGCAACATAACTAAATTTACAGCCATTTCCAGTGCCGTGTGGCTGTATTGTACAGTGGTTTTGCCAAAGCAAACTATAGGTTCGTTTAACAACCGCAGTGTTTGCTTGACAGCTTCTACAAAAACAGTCGTATGTCGAAGACTGCCTGTACAGACACAATATTTTAAAGCCTTTGCCCAGGTTTAGCAAAAGCACGCTTGTGATTTTACACGTTAGTGTAATCAATGCAACCTCTATTGTCTACCTAGCAAAAAGCTGTGCTTACAAGGAAGTGCTAGCTTGATCAATTACTATCACAACTTAACTGGCTTCGCAGGGGTGTTGTGGAAAGTCAAGACGGCATGGCAATTCTTTCAGAGAGAAGCACAGAGAGTCCTCGACTTACAACAGTTCGTTTTAGTGACCTTTTAGAGTTACAACGGCCCTGAAAAAAGTGACACGATCGTTTTTTTCACACCAACAACCGTTTGCAGCCGTCCCCATGTCCACGTGATCAAAATTCAAGACTTGCTTGGCAATTGACTAGTATTTATGGCGGTTGCATTATCCCCGGGTCACGCAATCCCCTTTCGCCGCCTTCTGACAAGCAAAGTCCATGGGGAAGACCGATTCGCTTAACAACCGTGTTGCTAACTTTTTATCAACTGCAGTGACTCACTTAGCAACGGTGGCAGGAAAGGTGCGTAAGATGGGGCAAAACTCACTTAACAAATGTCTTGCTTAGCAAACACCAATGTTGGGCTCCATTGTGGTCGTAACTTGAGGATTCCCTGTATATTGTGATGCTGGCCGGGGAATTCTGGGAGTTGAAGTTCCGACATCTTCAAAAAGGGGTTGAGAAACGTTTTAGAGCAAATGGGTCTGTTGGGTGTCAAAAATCTGAATATAATGGCTGCGTCCATCAGCCGGGAGACTGCCTTTTGGGGGGGCAGGGGTTGCTCTGTGTTGAGTTAGATTGGTCCAACCAGACCTGTTGAGACACAGCCAGCTGGGAAGGGGACCCCCCCCTCCTCAAATGGCTGAGAAAGGCCAGCTTCCCCCTTCCTTCCTTGCCTCCCAAAGGAAGGAGAGCCAGCATTTCTGACGGCTGTGTGCTGGAAAGGTTGTTTATGAAACAATGGGAGACGCCCCCCACTCCCCACCCCAGTCTTGAGAAGTCCGACAGCAGTCTTTATTTGTGACTTCCTGTTTGAACGGGGGGGGGGACGGGGACGGAGGGGCCTTGTGAAAACTTTTCAGAGGAGGGGGCTGAATTGCATCGCCCAGCACAGACTTGCAAGTTGTAGCAAACCTTCCCCCACCTCCCCACTCATCCTGTTCGTTTCTTCCTCGGTTTTAGGGGAGGGGGATTTCCAATGACCATTGGGGTCTTGTCACAGGCCCTGGGTACTGTCCCGGGCCTTTGTGGGGAGAGGTTGATCTTGATGGCGGCCATGGCGGCTTCTCTGCCCCCCTCCCCTCGCCAGGAATGCTTGCAGAGTCGGGCTCCGCTGTTGGCTGGGAAAAAAGGAAGCCTTGTCTTGAAGTTGCTGACCTCAGCTGCGAACCATTCCCCCTTCTGCCCTCCCCCAAGCGTGCTGCCCGGGGAGAACATGGCACAAAGGCGCTCCGGCCGGCTGGCCAGCCCCCACTTCTAAACACGCCCGATGCTCATCCAGGCCGTAATGGGGCTGACTCTTTCCTGGGGCTGGGAGTGTTTTCAAGGCTTTCTCCTTCGCCCCTTCCGCGGCCAAGTCCACCCCTGGCACTCCTGAGCGCCTTTCGGCTGCTCCGGGGGGGGGGGGGAGTAGGAGGTTGCAAGCCGTGGTGCTCCTGGGTAGGACGTGCAAAGTTGGGCACTAAGTTCTGGGCATCGGGGCGGTTGGGATGCTGCCCTCGTCCTCCAGGGAGGGAGGCGGCTACCCTTAAAGCTTGGCTGCTCTTGCCCTCCCACGCTTGGAGGGCCCAGCCTGGAAGTCGCGAGGCGGCTTGGCTGCCCTCCCAGCCTCCTGGCTGCAGAGGGGGAGAGGCGGCGGCGACGGTGGCGGCGGCAGCAGCCGGTTTCCTGTTTTCCCTCCCCTGGCACAGTGGGGAGGGGGGGTGGCTAAAATCCACATGCCGCTGCAGCAGCCATTGCATCCTGGTGGGGGTGGGGGGGTGGCAGAGCTCCTGCCAACATGCCCTCATCAGATGCAGCCAGAGGATCTGAGTATGGGAATTGCCAGCACTTCGCTTCTAACTCTTTTATGCTGGGAGGGGGCAAATGGGCGGCCGGACGGGCGCGGGGGGTGTTCTTGGCTGTCCTATTCTGGAAAGTGCGCCTCTGCCTTCCCAGACCGAGCTGGCTAACACTGCCCTTCTGAATGCCAGGGTTCGCCTTCCCGGATTGGGCCTACAAGCCCGAATCGAGTCCCGGCTCCCGTCAGATCCAGCTCTGGCATTTTATCCTGGAACTGTTGCGCAAGGAAGAATATCATGACGTCATCGCCTGGCAAGGGGATTACGGCGAGTTTGTCATCAAGGATCCCGACGAAGTGGCCCGGTTGTGGGGGGTGAGGAAATGCAAGCCTCAGATGAACTACGACAAGCTGAGCCGAGCTTTGAGGTGAGCCCGGGCAGAGAAAGGGCGGTGGAGAAATTCCAAGAATTTGGAAGGCGAAGGGGGGTTATTGCACCTGGTGATAGATAGCTCAACGGGCATGGTGGGAAAGGAAGGCTGCAAAATTCAGCCAGTGGGGCGCTCTGTAACTTTTTAATAGAGGTTTAGAAACATGCGCGTACATGCATGTACAGATGCACACATGCCCAGCCGTCCAGCCCTTCTCTCGCATAATATGAAAACTTCCCAACTGCTCATTTTGCAGTGCTCCGATGCAAAACAAATTGTAGACTTTTTTTTTTTTGCAAGAGAGAACAAAACTTTTAGCAGTGGGAAAATCTGGAATTTTAAAGGGCCGTTTTATTCCACTTGTTCCCAAGCAGCATTATCACTATCTGAATAAGGTGATTACAATTCATCTCTTCTCTTTTAAATGGGGCCTTTCAAACAAGATAGATGAGAAATTGAGCTAAACCAGTGTTCAATGCAAGGTTTGGCAGGAGTTTGCTTTGAGTTCAAGGGCTAATTCAGCAGAGACCAGTTTTAAGTTTGTTAAGTTGCTGGTTTAGTTTGCTGGGTGGCTTTATACATTTTCCATCCCATTTATTATTTGAAAGTTGGAAAGCCGGGGGAACTTCCATCTGTATTGAATTCACAAACGTCTCTCTCATAGCTTGGAAAAGATTCCTACCTGAAAAGGTGGAATACAGGTAGTCCTCGACTTACGACAGTTCATTTAGTGACCATTCTGAGTTACGATGGCGCTTTAAAAAAAAGTGACTTGTGACGGTTTTTCAGAGTTACGACCTTGGCAGCATTCTCGGATGCTTGGCAACTGGTTCATATTTAATGACCGTTGTTGTGTCCCAAAGTCATGTGATCATTTTTTTTGTGACAAGGTCAGAAGTTAATGGGGGAAAACCAGATTCACTTAACAACCGGGTTGCTAACTAATCAACCGCAGTAATTTGCTTAAGTTTGTAACTTTGGCCGCTAAACAAATGGTTGCACATTGAGGGCTGCCTGTTTAGGGGGCCTCCTGGTCCAATTCACAGCTATTTAGTGAAGTTTTTGTGCCATTCCATTAAAAGAATTATTGACTCGGATTGGAAGCTACATGACACAAACAAACGTCCGCTTTCGGACGCCGAATCAAACCCCATAACCGGAGGCCTAGAAAATGCACATTTGGCCCCAAGGCTAATACCGTAATTTGGTTAGGCTGGTTTCCCATCCTTATGTAACATGCAGTTGTTCCTATGCAAAGTTTGTGGGCTAGTGGCTATTTACAAGGCTGTGATCAAATCCCTTTGCAGTCACAGAGACGCCAAACGTGTTTCTCCCCATATGAGCAGATGCTGCTTCACACTTGCTGAAGCTGTAACACTTTTCCTTTCGGGGCCATGCCGACACCCACAGACTCCCGAGTTGGGCTTTTATGGTGGGGGAGAAGTGGGACTTGTGAGTCACTGACCCTCTCTGTCTCCTCCTCTTTTCTCTCCTCCTCCTCTTTTCTTTTGTTCCTTCCTCCTCTTCCTCTTTTCCTCACCCCTCCTCCTCTTCTTGTTCCTCTTCCTCTTCCCTTCCCCCTCTTTTCCTTCATTCCTCTTCCTCTTTTCCTCTTCTTCTTTTCCTCCCCACTTTTCCTTTGTTCCTCTTCCTCTTTTCCTTCCTCCTCCTCTTCCTCATTTCCTTCCCCTCCTCCTCTTTTCCTTTGTTCCTTCTTCCTTTTTTCCTTTGTTCCTCCTTCCTCCTCTTCTTCTTTTCCTCCTCCTCTTCCTCTTTTCCTTCCTTCCTTCTTCCTCTTTTTCTCCCCCTCCTTTTCCTTCCTTCCTTCCTTCCTCCTCCTCTTTTCCTTCCTCCTTCCTCTTTTCCTTCCCCTCCATCTCTTTTCCTTTGTTCCTTCTTGCTCTTTTCCTTTGTTCCTCCTTCTTCCTCCTCTTCTTCTTTTCCTTCCTTCCTTCTTCCTCTTTTTCTCCCCTCCTTTTCCTTCCTTCCTTCCTCCTCCTCTTTTCCCTCCTCTTTTCTCTCCTCCTCCTTTTTTCCTCCCCCCTCTTTTCCTTCCTTCCTTCCTTCCTCCCTCCTCCTCCTCCCAATCCTGCAGGTATTACTACAACAAGCGGATCCTGCACAAGACCAAAGGCAAACGTTTCACCTACAAGTTCAACTTTAACAAATTGGTGTTGGTTAACTATCCCTTCATCGACATGGGCATGGGAGGTAAGCATGGTGGGAGGACTTGCAGAGCCTCTGGGCAACCTTCTCTCTGCTCTTCAGCAGACTTCCTTGAACCCATGGCGAGACAGCCAAAGAAACTGAAGTTCAAAGCATTTAGTTCCGCTGGAAAAACAAGCAACACCCAACCACCACCCCCCCCATGGAAACGCATGCATCTACGTCTTGGTGGCTCTATTGGGTGTGCCCCAAAGGGAAAAAAAAAAAGAGGTTCAAAGGTCTTATTTTAGTTATGGAAAAGTATATCGACCTACAAGGAAGGTAATTTTCCCATCAAATAATTTAACTTTGGAATGGGAGTGTCTCGGTAGATGTGCTGGAAATACAGTATAGGTAAAGGGTTTTTTTTTAATGTGGAGGTGGAATTTCAGATTAAATTCTGGGTTCTCTTTTTTTTGGGGAGGGGGTAATTGGCCCCAGGAGAAAATGACCCATTTGGGAGAAGTATGTATTTGCCCTGGAAGAATACAGTCCAGGATGTGGCCAGTTCAAAAGATGTAGGGCAGGGATATCCAAGCTCGGCAATTTTAAGTTCTTCAACTGGAGAGTTGAAATCCAAAGGTCTTAAAGTTGCCAAGCTTGGATATCTCTGATCTAGGGTCATGTGGATGAGAGGCTACCATGTCTGGGGATGTAGGAGAAGGGACGGCAGTACCTGGAGACGGAGTGAAAAGAGGGGTGGGTCAGCCTAGTATCCCTACATAACCATAAGCATAAATCCAACCTCTTTGGAGTGCTGATAACTCTTATACCGGCAGTGAAGATATCTTTTGTGTCTACATCAGTGATGGCTAACCTTTTCCGGATCGAGTGCCCAAAGCGCATGTGTGCATGCCCGAATGCACTTGCATGCACCCAGATCCCCAAAATTCAATGCGTGAGCGGGCCACGCACATATGCGTGCCACTCGCATATGCCCAGCCCCGCGCATGCACATATGCCCCCATACATGCCCCACCCCGTGCATACTTGTGTGGCCCCCACACCTGCGCCTGTACACACAGCCCCCCCGCATGCGCCATGCCCCCATGCATGCATGGCAGAGACCCAAAGACCAGCTGGCTGGTGGGAGGCACACACGCATGCACAGCGGAGCTGAACTGGAGTGACAGCTCATGTGCCATCAGAGAGGGCAATGTGTGCTGCCTCTGGCATGCATGCCAGAGGTTCGCCATCACGGGTCTACATGATTAGCAATAAATCCGTTTAATTTGAGACTTTCACATGTGGACCTGAGCTTCGGTGCCTGAAAGGGAGGGGAGGGGGAAAAGGTCTTTGACAAATGGGATAGATATTGAACAGGTCACTGGTCTTGTGACGGCTTCCTTGAGTTGAATCTGTTCAATTGGACTTTGGGGACGCATTTAGGCCTTTTAATTCTCGGTTGTTGTAATGCTGATTTCCCTGGTTTGCTTTCCTCTTCCTTGTAGGTGGGGCCGTGCCCCAAAGTGCTCCACCTGTGCCTTCGGGTGGGTCACACTTCCGCTTCCCCCCTTCCACCCCATCTGATGTCTTGTCACCGGCCGAGGATCTGCGTTCGCCTGGGGTCTTCTCCGCCGTGGCTCGCCGCCTCGCTCGGGGCTCGGTCAGTGACTGCAGCGATGGCACCTCGGCCAATTCAGAAGTGGAGGAGACGTTGGCCGAAGAGCAGCGACGTGGCGGAGGAGGAGAGGCGGGTGGATTCCGCGGGCCCCCCTTGCCCAGCCATCCACGTTTGACCCACGATGCCCTCTTTAGAATCTATCCTCGCCCGCGGGTTCCTGAGCCTCTCAGCCCCTTCCCTGTGTCCCCCATGGCTGGGCCTGCTGCTCTCCTGCCCCCCCAGCTGTCCCCTGCCCTCCCCCTCACCCCCACTCACATAAATTACACTCCCTCACCCACCCTCAGCCCCATGTACCCCAGCGGCTCCCACTTCTCCTTCAACCCTGAGGACATGAAGCGCTACCTCCAAGCGCACACCCAGAGTGTGTACAACTACCATCTCAGCCCCAGGGCCTTCCTCCACTACCCCAACATTATCATCCCGCAGCCCCAGCGCCTAGAGAAGCCCCCTCTTCCCCCTCCGCCCCCACAAGCCGAGGAGCCCCCCAGCCCTTTCAAATTCAAGCTGCAGCCGCCACCGTTGGGGCGCCGCAACCGTGACAAGCAGCCTGCGCCAGTTCCAGCTGTGTCCCCAGGAGACTCCAGTGGTGGCCTTCTCTCCTCCTCCTCCTCCTCCTCCTCCTCTTCTGCAGCTGCTCCGGAGACCCTTGTCCCCCAGATCAAAGTGGAACCCATCTCGGAGGGAGAGTCCGAGGAAGATCTCACCGTGGAAGTCACTGATATCAGTGAGGATGACGAGGAGGTCTTTAAGGCCCCTTCGGCCCCACTGGAGAAGATTGAAAACGGAGAGACTTCAGCCTTGGCTCCCCCCGTTTCTCGGGCCGGGGAGAGTGGTAAATGCATTCCCCTCAAATTACGCTTCAAACGCCGTTGGAGTGAGGATCAGCGGCTGGAAGCCAGTGCGACGGGCGACGAAACGGACGACAAGAAAGTGAAGGGCGAGGAGGATGCCGGTGGTCACGGGGACGCAGTGGGAGGCCGGCGGATCAGCACGGAGCTGCAGCAGGCCACAGCCGAACTGACCCTGGAGAATCGGGACTGCTAGACAGGACATGCAGCTCTCCCTCCCTCCGGACAAATGGACCGATGACGGGGTGGGTGGGCTGACTTTGCTGCCTTAACTCAGAGATTATCTTTCTACTTTCCTTTCTCCTTCCTTCCTTCTTTCCTTCCTTCCTTCCTTGGCCTGGAACTCTGTACATGCTCTTCTCCTCCTTTGAAAGTCAGAAAAAAAAATGTAGGGGGCGGGGAAGTTTTTACTTGTCTATATGCATATATAAATCTAAATCTAAATATATATATTATATATATGTAAAACCTCTGCAGGGGTGGGGGGATTTTTAAAAATTAATATGCCAGGTTTGTTTTTAAGGGGTCTCTTTTCTCTTCCCCCTTCCCCCCCCCACCTCATACACTATAAGCCTCAGGACCTTTTTAATTAAGATTGCCCCCCAAATACGGTGTAGTTTGAAAAAAAGCATTCGGGAGGTGGGGAATAAGGGTAGTCTTACGAAAGCCACCACCCCGCTATTTTCCTCGTCCTCACACTCACAAACTTGCAATTAGCAATCTTAAGCACAATACACTTTTTAATCCCCCAGTGGATCAAAAAGAGAGTTAGCCATATGTTCTCTGTCCCTCTTAACTCCTTCTCCGTGCGCCTTTGGTGTTTAGCCATGCTGGCCACACGACCACGGAAATTGTCTTCGGACGCCGCCGGCTCCTTCTGCCAAGAAACAGAGTTGAGCACGATGCCCTAGAGTTGGATACCTTATTACCTTTTACATATTAAACTAATTAAATATTTTATAGGCTGCCCAAGAATTCCTCTTCGCTCAAAGCAGCATAGGCGAGCCAAAAGGATGGACGCGCCTGCTGTCGATGGTTAGCGTGGGATCATCGAGGCATCCTTGTTAAAACGCTTTTTTGTCTGTTGTGTTGCTGCGTCTTCTAACCTAGAATAAGAAGGGGATCGATCCCATGCGTTTTCGGGGCTTGCTACCCCCGTGGATGGTTGAGGGTGTGTCTTTGCAACATGCCATCCTCGCCACCAGTGGCAAAAGAGGCATTTTCTATCGTATCTTTGCCAAACCCACCAAAGACTTCCCTTTGTAACGATGCTTTAGGGAAACCAAGACAAAACAATACAAAACAAGGATAGGCTTGGGCCTAGCTCAGGCTTATCCAGCCTGCAGGCCGCATATACTCCTGGAGAGCTAGTAATGTGGCTGCACGAGATTGTAAACTTTTTAAAGTGTGATTTATATACATTAACTATATTACAGGTAGTCCTCCATTTACCAACGCAATTGAGCTCCAAATTTCGGGTTGCTAAGCGAGACAAATTATTAAGTGAGCCTTGCTCACTGACCCGAGTGATTCGCTTAAACAATGGGCGGGGATAGTTGATAAAACAAAGGTAATTTTGCCGTTTCGTGAGACAGTTAAGTGACTCATGAAGTTGTTAAGTGAAACATGCAGTTGTTAAGAGAATCCAGCTCTGCCCACTATCACAAATAGTGATGACATGGCCCCCCCCCCCCCCCCAGGCCAATGCAACTGTCATAAATACATGACAGTTGGCATGTGTCTGAATTTTGATCATGTGACCATGGGGATGCTGCAACGGTCGTAAGTGTGAAAAATCGGTCATAAAGTCACTTTTTCCAGTGCCATTGTAACTTTGAACGGTCATTAAACAAATGGTTGTAAGTCGAGGACTACCTGTATGTATGTTACATGCCGACCAGGATAATTCCAGAACCAGTTTGGTCTAGTGGTTAAGGCAACAAGCTTAGAAAGCAGGAGGCCGCGAGTTCAAGTCCCGTCTTAGCGATGAAAGCCAGCTGGGTGACCGTGGGCGGTTGGTTCCCTATCTCTCTGCCCAACCCACCTCACAGGGTTGTTGTGAGGAAATAGGAGGAGGAAAGTGTGTTTTGAATATGTTCTCACCGCCTTGAGTTATTTGTAAAAAACAAGGCAGGATACAAATAAATAAAATTAAAAAAAAAAACCTCTTCACTCAGTGCGGCCCAGGCAAGCCGAAAGGTGGGACCCCCACGGCCATTTAACCTCATTAGGTTTGGGAATTAAGGGTGGGTGGGATATTTGAAGAGTTTTTTTAAGTGCCTGTTGAAATGCTGTTTCCAAGGGAACCTAAGCAGGGAGCGGACATTCCTTTTTCTCTCTCCGTCTGCACAACTGTTGTCCCTGAAAAGACGGCTGTTCCTTTCCTTGTGCCCCCTTCCCTCCCAGCAACTTCAGAAATTAAGACACCGTTTTCCTCCCATCTTGTTAAACAATTCCACTTTTTTTGCAAGGGAATGTTTGGGGGGGGGGTGTCAAACAAAAGAGACACTGCAGGATGGGACGGTGCCTTAGAGAAAACAAAAACATTTGGGAATCTTGCAATGGATGTGCTCCAAATCCTTATGGATGTATTTGCCTTGCTCTCCACTCTGTTAGGATCAGAGATTATTCAGTTCCCCCAAAGAGACAGATTTGCATGTAGACAACTCCCCAACCCCCCAAAAAGCTGATTTATGGGATGCTGCCATGAACCCGAAGGCAGGATCTGGAATTATCTCCTTGTGAGGTCAATATAAAGCAGTAATGTGCTTGAGGGTTGTTTTATATATGTGTGTGTGTATATATATATATATGTATATACATATACATATATATAATATGCATATATATATATATATAGCCTTATTCAGATTCTTGTACATATCAAAGAAAATGGGGTGTCGTTCATTTTAAGAATGTACAAAAAAAAAAATGAAACCAATAAAGGGTTTTGAGATTTCATAACCTGGTGGTCCATTATGAATTTTGGAATATTGGGGTGAGAAATACGTACAGTTTGTGGGAAGCAGAGATACCTTGGTGGGCTGGGGAAGAAAGTTGGAGAGCATACAGTGGTCCTCGACATACGGCCACTATTAAACCCAGAATTTCCGTTAACCGGGCAAGATGGTTGTTAAGTGAGTTTTACCACCATTGCTAAGTGCAGTCGGTTACTAAGCAAATCTGGCTTCCCACATTGACTTCGCTTGTCAGAATCCAGCTATGAAGGTCACAAATGGGAGTTACATGACCCTGGGATAACCATCATGAACACATGCCAGTTGGCAACTATCCTAAGTTTGATCACATGCCCATACGGATGCTGCAATGGTCATAAGTGTGAAAACGTCATAAGTCCCCCCCCCTTTTTTTTTTGCAGTATCATTGTAACTTCAAACGGTCACTGAATGGTTGTAAGTCGAGGACTGTGTTTGGGTAATAAAAGCTCTTTGCTAAAGTAGGCATGGTGGCTAAATTTCTGTTGTAGGGGTGAGTTCAAGCAATGATCCCGAGCTGCTTCAGCAATCTTGCCTGCTCATATTTATTTCCCTTCCCTTTTGGGATAACAAAAACTTTTGACTGTCAAGCTGGCCTGGCCTAAATCTTCTCCCCTTTTTAAATGTAAATTTTTTACATTTTTTAAATGTAAATTTTAATTTGTTTTAAATTATGGGGTATTTTAAATTCAGCCAAATTATTTAATTCGTTTTTAATTCATTTTAAATTTTTTGTATTTATGTGTTTTATCTTGTGGCTGTTCACCGTCCTGAGTCCTTCGGGAGAAGGGCAGTATAGAAATTTAATTAAATAAATAAATAAATAAATCTACAGGGCCATGATGGCGAACCTATGGCATGCGTGCCACAGGTGGCACACAGAGCCATATCTGTGGGCACGCTACCGTTGCCCTAGCTCAGCTCCAGGTCTTTTGGGCCCACCGGAAATCAGGAAACGGGCCTTTTTCTGCCTCCAGGAGGGAGGCCGTTTTCGCCCTCCCCAGGCTCCAAGAAAGTGTCTGGAGCCTGGGGAAGGCAAAAAACGGACCTACCGGGCCCACCGTGCCATCGCATGCCAAAAGTGGGGGGGAGCACAGGTGGGTTGTGTGTGCATGTGGGGGGGGCACATCGAATTATGGGTGGGGGCATGCATGTGCATGACCCCCCCCCCGATTTTGGCACACAACGGCAAAAGTTAGCCATCATTGCTATAGGTGCTCTGTTTTTTTCCCTTTCTCCAATTTCTTAACTTGATAATGGATGTTAAAGTCACTTTAATTATATATGCATATGTATGTCAAGTTTCTGTTTTGCCTAAGAAAACCCATAGGAGAGGATAATTCTGGTTCTGAAGCTTTTGAGAAACACGCACACACACCAATAGGATAGCTGTAAAATTGTGGAACATGGCCTTAGCTGCAGAATTAGATTTTTGGAGAATCTCGGGGGATTTTTTTTTTTCTTTAAAAAAACAACAACAAATCTTAACGTTTAGATTGGGCCAACTACTGCTTCCTGCAAGCTTGAAAACCACAAACTGTTGGAAAGAGAGGGCAGAAATAAAGAGCTGCTATTACTCCTTTCTTTTGCCACAACTCATAAACTATTAGAGTAAATATGAAATTAAGCAAACTCAAAAACACCCAGCTGTTAAAATGTGGATAGCTTGATGTGGACATTAAAAAAAAAGAGAAGCTTTTAAACAAAAAGGGATGTGTTTTAAGGAAGTTAATGCTTTGGGGTTTGTTTTTTTTAAATTAATTTTTGTTTTATAAAGCTTGTATTAGGATCCTGGAGTGATGACTTAACACCACACAATCGCCCCTTAAAATTGTCGCTGGTACCACAGTATTGTGCCGGCTTCCAGAAATACTGGTTTATGTTGAAAGTCTGTTTTTCCACTGGAGGTATTTCTTTCTCTTCATCCATTCCACTTCAGGACTGCAAATCAAGTGTTTTGATTTTCAAAATTGGTTTTCAAAAATTGGACAACCGTTTGACTAAGGTGGTATACGGTTCCTTCCTTGAGCAGGGGGTTGGACTAGAAGACCTCCGATGTCCCTTCTGGTTATGATTCTGCTGGAGCAGGAGACCGTGTATCATTTCAGACAAATGGTTATGCATTTGTCTTTTTGAAAGCCTTCAGTGATGGTGCATCCACAACTTCTGAAGGCAAGTTGTTCCATTGGTTGATTGCTCTCACCGTTACGAAATTTCTCCTTAGTTCTAGGTTAAATGTCTATGGAGCTTCTCAGTCCTCCAGGTCATGATTGTCCCAAAGGTGCTTTTTTCAAGAGGCAACTGGACTTTCTGGTTTTTCTTTGAAGACATTTCGCTTCTCAGTTCTCATCCAAGAAGCTTCTTCAGCTCCGACTGGGTGGTGGGAAATGGGAAGCTCTAGATTTGTTTCTCTCTCCTTGGTTAGTTTCCAACCATTGTTTCTTGCCTTGCCTGTTGATGCTTCAGAAAATAATTTAACCCCCTCATCTTTGTAGGAGCTCCTCAAATATTGGAACAGCGCTATCATGTCCCCCCTAGTCCTTCTTTTCATTAGACTACTAGACCTAACTTTGACAATTCCCAGAATTCCCCAGTCAGCTGTGGGAAAGTCTGCTGTTTTGAAACACTGGCATTCTTTCTACTTTGCCTTGTGCCTGGAACTACTAATGTGATGTGAATCCTCTCCATCCCAAATAGCTAAGCAAAATATCAGGAGAGCAATAGGAATTCCTGGAAGGCAACAGATTGGGAAAGGGTTATCTATGGAATACCTATTCTAGGTGCAGTTCCCTTTTCAGATCTATCTTTGGGACAAACCTGTCCTGCAGGTAGTCCTCGACTTACAACCACAATTGGGATCATAATTTCTGTAAGACAATTGTTAAGTGAGTCACGCCCAATTTTATGACTTTTTTGCCCTGGTTATTGACTTTAAATAGTTTTATTAATTTATAATATGACATACAAAAAGAATACAAAAGCAAATATTAGGGAAATTAGGAAAGGAAAAAGGGAAGTGGGTAGTGGGGGAAAGCAAGGGAAAAAGGGGGAAAAAAAGGCATTGACTTCCGACTCCTTTGGTGTAGTAAAATAAGGCATTAAGATCTACCCTCAACTTTTTTTTATTTTTTCATGATAATTGAAACTATTTCTATAACAACAAATCTATCTAATTGGTAAAACCCAAAATCAAAGTTTCATTTTTTTTCCACCTCAAGCACAAAGTCCAGAAGTGGTTTCCAAGTAGAAATGAAGGTATTTGTATTTTTTTTTTCTTTAATCAGTCAATTTAGCCATCCCTGCTAACTTTTTGCCCTGGTTATTAAGCGAATCACTGCGGCTGTTAAGCGAATTGGGCATTGTTAAGCGAGTCCGGCTTCTTCCCCCATTGACTTTGGCTGTCAGAAACTGGCTAGGAAGGTTGCAAATGGCAATCTCGTGCCCCAGGGACACTTGCGGTCATTGTAAATACATGCCGTTTGCCAATGCCCAGAATTTGGCCACATAACCGTGGGGATGCTACGGTGGTCATAAGTGTGAGGATCGACCTTAAGTCATTTTGTTCGGTATGACTAACTTTGAATAGTCCCTAAATGAGGGATTGTAATTGGAGGGCTACCTATACTCTGCACCTGGAATTTTTATAATTTTATGTAATTGAACATTGCTATATTTAAGAATGTAACCCCTTTGGGGCAAGGAACTGTTCATCTAATTTCTTGGCAGAGGGCAGTTGTATTAAAAGTCAAATTTTTCCAACCCCATAAACGATGGTGATTTAGAGTAATTCCATGGCTGAGAATCTGGGGTGGGTATTTAGACATGACTGGCTCACTGTTCTACAATTAATATGGAAGTCTTCAGAAATTCCCCAGGGACTTTTTCTCTTAGTCAGATGATGGTGCCACAAGCTCTTCTCTTCCTTGTTCTTGTCTTTCTTGAAAGATTATCTGCCAGCCCGATTGAAATTCACGATTCCAGGAACTGCAGCCTATTGGAAATGGGAGAAACGGGGGTTGGTTTAGAATAAAGAATAATTGTTTAGCTGTCTGAAGCTTAAAATTTGGACCTAGAAAGTAGGACTGTTTGCCAGATCCCGATCTCTTTTCGGACAGATTGTGCCCTAGTTCGGGGGTCGGCAACCTTAAACACTCAAAGAGCCACAAAGGTCTTAACCGGAAGCCCCCACTCAATTCTGGAGCCAACCGGAAGTCCGGTTCCCCTACCGGAGAGTCTCCTCCTAGCGCAGCATCCTTTTTCCTCTACCTGTCCTAACTGAAAGCCCTATCAATTGTGCAGCGGACTGGAAAGCCCGCCCTTTGCCATAGAGTCTCTTCCTGGCGTGCCGTGCTTTCCCCCCACACCAAAGCAGAAGCGCCTCTCAAAATTGTGGCGCCAACTAGCAACGGGGAGCCGCAGCAGAGGGATGAAAGAGCCACATGCGGCTCCAGAGCCACGGGTTGCCGACCCCTGCCTAGTTAATAGTAGATGCAGGGGTGAAATTCAGCCAGTTCTATCCGGCTCGGGCAAACCAGTGGCAGCGGCTATGGGAGGCTCAGCCCACCCGTGTGGATGTCCCCAGGGTCGTGTGATTTACATACGGATGCTGGACAACTGATTCACCTTTATGACGGGTTGCAGTATCCTGGGGTCATGTGATTCCCCTTTTACGACCTGACAAGCAAAGTCAACGGGGAAAGCAGAATCATTTAACAAGGGTGTCACTGGTTTTACAACTGCGATTAATTCACTTAACAAATGTGGCAAGAAAAATCAGAAAATGGACAAAACTCACTTAACAAATTTCTCACTGAGCAACTTAAATATTGAGCTCAATTGTGGGCATAAATTGAGGATTATATGTATACCGTACTGTACTGCAAAAGATAGAAAAAGGAATTAAAAAGGTAAAAGAGCCATCATTCAACAGCACCTAACTGAGCTTGACCTGTTAATTTTAAAAGAAGCAGGGATTGTTCAGGAAGGTTAAAAAGACAGGCTGGGGTTTGTGAAATTTCCCCTAGGAAAAAAATGTTTTTTTAAAAACACGTAAGGGGACTGAAGGCATTGAAACAAGTACAGGCATTCTTAGTTCTCGCATCCGAGTGCATTTAAGCTGTTTTACCTCTTCTAAACTCTTAATGTGACACTAACCCTCATCACTCCTCAAGGCTGAATGGGTGTAACAGAGAAGCTGGGGTTAGAATCACATTATAACAGTAGCGGATTTAAAAAAAGTAAAGACTTCTTTGTCTTTTAACTTTGTCTATAACTGTCTGGTTTGGTTCTGCAACCCAACAAGACAGACACAGACTTCAGAGGACAATTAGAACTGCAGAAAAAAAAATGGCTACCAACCTGCCTTCCTTTTTTTTTTTTTTAATTAAAACAAAACTTTATTGATTGTTAAAAAACATTTAAAACATACAAGTTTCTCTCAATCAAGAAACAAATTTACACATACAG